GGGTCTCGGTCCACCTGCTATGCAGAGTGGAGGCTACGAGGGAGATGGCAGCAACCTTTCCTCTTCGGCAACGCCAGGTGGCACGTCGAGCGGCGATGACGGCTCAGGCAAGAGACGACGGATGACTTTTGGTGGATCTGGAATCAATTCCTCTACCAATGCTTCTAGCAGTCTCGCTGCTCTCCCACATCAGCCCGCATCCGCTCGCTTGCCTCCCTCCGACTATGTTGGATCTATGGGACCGCCGCAATTGACAGCCCAGCCAAGTCAGCGAAGCTCTCAGGTAGCGGGCCAAACTCAGCAAAAAAGCCCCATCACCCCAGCAACAGCGCGTTCTCTCGCGGCTTCTGCTTCTGCAGCCGCCACTGCGGCCGAGTCTTCGCATGCAGCTTTGGCCCGTCACAGGAGGGTGTACAGTGGTGACGTACATGGCAGTGGCGGTCCAATCCTCACATCTGAGAACAACCATGGGAGTCCGACAGGAGGGGATCACGCAATGGATGCCCATCTGGGCGACCTGAGCAACATTTCCCCTCACAATGCCTTCTCACGCTCCACCAGTTTTGCTACTCAGAATACACCGTCATGGCTAGCCTCCGGCTCTCGGCCCGTGTTGAACACGTCGGGTTCGATAGGAGGACCTGCGCATCCTTCGATCCAAGGCCACGCTGCGTCTCATCCGCCGGGTTTGGGCTCGCAGGTATTGAGAGGCCCTGATCGAGCCTCTATCGGCCACAATGCAGCCACCGACTTCACTCGTAGAAAGGGGTGGAGCGCGAGAGTCGTGGAGGAGTTGCTCGACATGGTCCATGTGCTCGACGATGAGGCCAGGTTTCTGTATGCTACTCCTGGCATCTTTCAAATGACTGGATGGCGTGCCGAAGAGCTGCGCGGCATGCCCCTTTGGAATGTGAGTTCACGGCTTTGATTGTTCAGATGGAGTTGGACAATGCTGATTCTGTAGCTCCATGCGCGTCACCAGTACGTCCACCCTGAAGACGTTGAGGACGTCAAGCGTGA